CCATCCAACCTATTCAATTCATGGACTTTTATGTTCTTCCATTTACAATTGAACATTTAAGCTCCATTAAAATTGACTCCACTAATATCCACATTCTCAAATTCTGATCCATTCAAATTACATCTTACAAAGTTTCCTCCAATTAAAGAAGTATTCTTGATCCTGATATTTTCAAATGATTGGTTTCTAAGATCAACCTTCATGGCCACTAATAAACTAAATCCATTTGATCCCGTTTGAATAAATTTTACATCTATGCTTGTTAGTCGTACTAAAAATTTGATGAAATATGTTATCCCTTTGTTATCCTTTATCCTCTTGATTAGATCCACTCTTTCCTTTTCATATATTTCATGAGAATAGTCATCTTTATAAAATTTATGATCCTAAATATTCTTCAAGACATTTGTTATTTTCTTTACTTACTTCTTGATCACCATTATATTCTCTTACTTGTAGTTTAAAGATTCATAAAACTGATTATTGTTTGTCTTTGACAGGAATCCAATAATGTCTGAAACTTTCTCTTTTTTAAGTGTTTCAAGAACCTTTTAATAGAGAGATTCATCTATTTCCTGGATGTAGGATAGCATCTCATAAAGATCTTCCTTCATTTAATAAACTTCAGCTTGTTCTTAAATAGGCTTTATAGTGGTAGTAGATGGTTTAAATTGCTATTAAAAAATCTCATTTGTTTCTTTCTTTATCTTTTCATTAAAAGACTTAATTTGTGAGACCCATAAATTCTTCACTTTTTCCAACTAATTCAAATAAAAATTTTTCGAAGCATTCCAAACATTTAATGTTCTTCCTTCAAATATTTGTACTATTTTCTCTAATTCTGTATTTGAAGTTTCAATTAGATTTGTATTCTCGTTAATGAGATCAAGATATGATTTGTTTTATTGATCAATCATATCATATATTTATTTGATTGATTCTGATAATTCTTCCCCAATTTTCTTCACCATACTCTCAGTTTGTGAGAGCATTGATTTAAAAGCCATTCTCTATTTGGTTAATTCTGATGTATCATCAAGCTTAAAGTTTTTTAATTTTTGGATCACCATTTCTTTAAATTCTTCAATCAGAACAGTTTTTTTGATCTCCACCCCATGATCATATAAGCATTTAACACAAAGTTTCCTTTAGCACTCATGAGGAGCTATACATATCGAAGTGATTGGATTTTGTATGTGATAAGTGCAATTCATTATTTTTAATAATGAATTTCTATTACTCTTACTTTAAGTTATATACTGCAAAATCGATAAAAGTATCTTGTACATTTCGATAAAATAGAAGTTAGGACTTTATGTGGATTTGGAATTGATTGTAATAGATGTTAATGATGCTATTAAGAATTAATTTCAATACCTGCATTACTTGATTTTTTAATAATATAGAATATTTTTATTTTATATGAAAATTGAATTATTAATATATATTTTTCTTGTTAAACTTTTATTTAGAGAATAAATAATTTTAATTTTTCATCCAGCTATTTAGAGAATAGATAATGTTTTCACGTTTTCAGAAAGAATTGCCATAAATAAATTTGTTATTCTTCTTGTTTTTCAGAGTGAATTGAAACTTTAATTAGATCCAGAATTTAAGATTTTAAATTAATGAGTAAAAGTTGGTATGATCCATCATAAATGTGTTCCCAGTTATACTAAACAATTGTGGTCCAAAAATTAATTGTTTAGAAAAAGCAAAAGGATACTTTTTCAAGGGCCCATTTTTGCTTCCACATTTGGTATGACCCCTCATAAACAAGTTGCTACCTCTTGGGGGAAATTGTAGTCTCTTGGGCTGCTGAATGATGTGCTTAGAATTTTACCCTCTATTGATTGGTGTCTGATATGTCCATATTTATTATGACTCATTTTTTTTATAAAAGTAATATTTTTTGGGATATTTTATAATAATTTCTTAAATCTAGTATGACCCTTCTAGAGGTTACCATATCTTGGTGGAAAATTCTGGTGATAAAAAATAATTGAGAAAAAAAAGTGAAGATGTACTTTTTGTAAAAATTCTCCACATTTTTGTTGAAATGAAAAGTGATATAAACTTAAGGTGTTAAACAATATGCTTAGAATTGTACCCTCTATAAAATGGTGTCTGATATGTCCATATTTATTATGACTCATTTTTTTATATAAATATAATATTTTTTTTAGGATATTTTATAATACTTTCTAAAAACTAGTATGATCCTTCTAATAGAAGTTACTTTGTCTTTGGAAAAATTTTGGTAAAAAAAATATTTGAAAATAAAAAGCAATACCCCCCCTTTAAACTAATTTTACAAAATTATTAATTATATCTATTAAGACTTATGTTTATAAATAGTAATAAATTAAATAAATTATCAGAATATCTTATGAAATAATCATGCAGTTTTTTGTTAAGTTAGGTTCCAATTAAGTAATTTAAATTGATCTTTATTTTAATCACTTCAAATCTGTGCATACTATTCTCTGTTTGGATGATTAATTTAATGTAGTATCATTTATTAAATCTCTCTAAATGTCAATTAACATCAGTTTTTTTGAAGGAGATCTTAATAAATATACCCTACATTTCTTTGAAAGGGAATACTTTTGAGAAATCAAAATAAAGAGTCGAGCAAATAAAAGATATAATTAAAAAAATATGAAGAATAAATTAAAATAATAATTGTTGTAATGTTCTTTATGAATAATAATTATCACTTTTACTTAAGGTCTTCTAAAATGCAACTTCCTTTTTGTTTAAACAATGTCTTTAAGTCAATACCGGATTGATTTATAAACTCTCCTTTCAAAATTAAAGCTCCTTTGGCTTGAAATATTGCTTCTTGAGATATAAGTAGTGTAGTGATGTAATTTGAGGCTATAAATATGATAGATGATAAATACTACCGTCTGAAATATGGCTCTGTTATTGGAGTGGAATCTTAAATTATGCAAGAATATTTTTGTAGTTTTTATCAGAGGATTTAATTTCTTATCCTGTCTTTACATCCCATAGACGGATAGACTTATCTTAACTACCAGAAGCTAATGTATTT